GTGTGTGTGTGTGTGTGTGTGTGTGTGTGTTTGTGTGTGTGTGTGTGTGTGTCAGTGTGTGTGCATGGTGTGTGTAATGTTTTTGGCGCTATAGGGATACGGATAATAGAGACCGATGAGATGGTTGCAATCGTCTAGCCTACTTCCTGTGAAAGTAAACTTCGGACCCCCCCAAAAAAACAACAACAACAACAAAAACAAAAAAATTAAAACAATTAAAAACTTTGAATAAAATGAAAAAGATAAGATAACATTTAAAAAAAATTAAAACAGAAATTAACAAGTTAAAGTGTCTTTTTTGAATGAAGCTACGTGCGGCAATCTAAATGAGACCGCACAAAGAGTGTGGAGACCCCCAATGTGCGAAGCAGGTCTCTAATATAGTGAGTTCTGAATAAAGGAATCAAGTTGACGTCTACTCCTATTTCTTCTATGGTTGAAATAATCATCCTGTTCTTATAACTATCTTTTAACGTATGTGTCATTATGGTGTATTGACAAAAATGCAAAAGTCAGAAACACTTCTTTTTACGTCCTCTGCGCCACTTTTGTGGCCCGGACAAGCTTGTTACAAGAAAATGGTACGTTGCCTGTCTCCCTGAGACTGACTGAGCTGACAGTCCCTTCTTCGATCCATTGATTGAATGTTCTCTTCGTTCCCACCGTTATAGGGCTACCATCCATCTCTGCCAGTCTTCACCGGCGTCTGTGGTGTAGGTGCCCGCCATTGGCTCGATCGGATCGGTTCGGTTTTGGTAGACGGGGGCTAGCCAAATTGAGGACGCCAAGCGACCATCGTGGCACAAACCTATCGCCCGACTCGCGGCCTAAAAAACAAACGCATTTGTTTTCATTTCAAGGCCTCCAGTCGGACGATCGGTTAGCGATCTGTAGCGACGAGTCGGGCGATCGGTTTGTGCCACGATAGTTGCTTTGCACCCTCATTGAGTTAGCAAATCGACCCGACCCGATCGTGCTAATGGGCACCCGATTTTAGAGAACCGATTCCCCAATGTGCACTTGCATGAACCCCGAGCAAGGCTTTCTGAGTAACTCGGAAAGCCTAGGCCCGAGTGGTGACAATTTTTTCGAGTATTTGGTCTTTCTGCTGGGATGTTATATCCTTCTCAGCCCGGTTCTAACTGCTGTGTCACATTCGCGCATTAGACGAATTTGCAAAATCATGAAGGTACGAGGTTTGATCCCAAATGCTATTCCAATTTTTCTCGTCCTGTGGGTGGTTGGTGGTTACTGTTTTGTTGAGGGTGGTTGCAGGGCGCCACTGGTAGGTCCAACATTTACTTCTTTGTTCCCTTTACTATTTCGTTCTGTCTTACGCCTTCCAAGTACTAAATGATCGTTCTTGTGTCGATGCACATAATCCCTTTACTCAAACAAACAAACAAACTGTCCATCGCCTTTTCTAATATTTTCTTTG